GTCAATAACCAATCAGCAGCTTTATGAACGAATTAATTCGCTTTTCAAAATCAGATGAGCTCATGTGGGAAAACTGAGAATTTATAAAGTTACCTTTACTTGAGGCACCGTCTGAGAACCTTCTGTTTTACCTGTTCTGACATGAAATTTGTGCTACCCTTTTTAAACCGTATGTGTTAAAAATGGCTTAATTGACTATTCAGATGTGTCTTCATTCACTATAGATCAAACAAAGAAAAACATAAGACTTTATTAAAAACAAGTTCCCAGAGGGTCTCATTGAGTTGGCGCAGATCACGCCACTTCTAGAGTGCATTGACCACATGCTTGTGTAAAATACACCTTGACCTTCTAGATTATCACAAATTGTCTAACATCAAATACAGTCAATTACTTGAATTCCAAACATCGATAATATCCCAGAAAGTTGAGACGCAAACTTGCGTGTGAGAGAAATAACTGCTAGCGAAGTGACGTAAGCAGCAATGTGATTGGATGATAATTAAAAGCAAAGTCACTTTAAGGCAAGTCATTTCACTCGGTAGCCATCTTTGAAACAGCTCTTATGTCTTTGAATGGGGAAACATCAAATTCTCCAAAACAGTTTGCAAAGCTTACGATTAAAATTAATATTTGTAATGACCAATGAAATCTGACAACAACTGTCTCATAAATGTTGTTTCTTTTGCTCAAATAGTGTTAAAAAAAAGCTTATTTTTTTCAGGCTAGACCAGGGCTGTCCAAACTCGGTCCTGGAGGGCCGGTGTCCTGCAGAGTTTAGCTCCAACCCTAATTAAACACACCTGAACCAGCTAATCAAGCTATTATTAGGCATAGAAACTTCCAGTCAGGTGTGTTGAGGCAAGTTGGAGCTAAACTCTGCAGGACACCGGCCCTCCAGGACCGAGTTTGGACAGCCCTGGGCTAGACCATCCAGTGCACATGCGCAGTCCTAAGCACACATCTCAGAACACTGACTGTTTCTATAGCAACCAGGACTTCCAACGGCAGCTGCAGTGCAGCAATGACTTTATCGTTTAACGATTGGCTCTTTTACTCAGAAGGCAAGGCTTCCTTTGATAGAGCGGCCATATTAAGTGTTGCATTTTTGTGACACATCTTGGGTCTTCTATAGTCTTTGTTAAAACATAAGATGTGTCCCAAATTGTGTACTTATGCACTATTATTCTATGACACTTTGTAGTATAAATTGCGAGTAGTGCATTCACACTGAAAATTCCAAAAAGAAAAAGTGCATTTTAAATACCTGAATGATGCACTTAAATAACTGAAAAAACAAAGTGTGGAATCTTGGACACTTCATGCGCTCAACTGTTGCAGCTTTAATTATGTAGCAAAGGGGGAGGGGCTATCAGAGTCAGATTATGAATGATAAAAAATAACCTTATATACAGTAAGTCATACACTACATAATTGAGTACTTAGTGCATGAGTACATATTGTATAAGTGCTTAGAGTATAGTGCAGCTATAGACTATTGTGTTCAACACAGTATTGCATTTTTTTTCTTTTTAATTTTTGTTTTAACACAACAAAAATGACAGTGTGTTAAAATGTTAATAACACAATCTTTAGTGTGTTCAAATTTTTTTAACACAATCTTTTTGAGAGCATACTAATTAGCTGTTCAGAACCCAAAAATATGACAATACTGAAACAAATGTAACTTATCTTATTATTTTCTGCATACTCGTGCAAAGAAACTCATGCACGCATATTTCACAATATGTTCTATCACCATTCAAGTCTGTTTCTCAGAATAAATCAGCTTAAATATGATGTTACTTTTCTGAGCAGGGCCCAAATAATTAACACCTACTAATATACGATTATAGCTTTGTGCATCTAGAGTTGTTTGTAGCCGCATTTGGACTGTTTCTGTTTCAACAACCCAATGCTTACATCTCTGTTGGTTTATATTTCTGTCTTCAGCTTTTGGAGGATGGTACAGCTATAGGATGTCTAAAGCTGCCTTAAACATGGCCACCAGAAACCTGTCCATTGAGCTGGGTCGAGGGCGCTCTAAAATTGTGTGTGTATCCCTGCATCCTGGAACCGTGAATACAGATTTGTCTCGGCCCTACCATCGAAACGTAGCCAAGGACAAGCTGTTCAGCACAGAGTACTCAGTCCAATGCCTTATGAACATTATAGATACTCTAAATATAGACAAAACAGGTAAAGCCTATGCATGGGACAGTACTGAAATACCTTGGTAAACAGTCTTGTCAAAAATGACTGTATTCTGTGTGTACCTGTGTGTAATGTGACAAAGGAAAACAATGCTGAAACAAATCATCAAGCAATGTAAGTCTTGCACAAAAAATAAATGTTTGCATTTTAAGGAAACATTGGATTTAAAAATGATTGTTGGTTTATTGAAAATCTTTGAAACATACACAAACATTCCAGGAAGACTTGCTGATGTAACTGTCCTTGTTTCTTTTTCATTTTGACTGTAAGAATGGTACAGTCTTATCTGCTGTGCACAAAACAAAGAACTACCACATCAGATACGAAGAGCTTATCACAAAATTCAGTATGAAAGACGTCATACTTGGATTTTTGTGTTCATGCTATAATAGTAAAATCATTTTAGTACTATTTTAAAATCTATATGCATGGGTAAAATGTTGAATTAAAAAAAATTTGACAAAAAATTCTAACTTATTTTTTTGATTGAATCCAAGAACGCCTTGAATTTTAGTTATTTTTAACAACTTTTCAATTGTCATTTGCCCTTTTGATCGGACCTAATAAAGCTTTGCTTTTTGTATTTGTTTCATAGATTAAAAACAACTTTTTCAATTGTCATTTAGAATCATTACATTATGGCAGAGATGTCCAGTGTTCTCCTGTCTTTCCAAGCAGTCGAGGTCACTGATGTCACATTCACTGCAGTTTCCTGAATGATTTGGCCCCTCTCAGTCCTGCAGCTATTTTAGCACCTATCTATTCTGAAAAGTACCGCCCACAATACTTTCCAGAAATGTACACAGTGAGTGAAATGACATTTGATGATACAATTATTCCTCAACACTCTTTAGTATTTGTCAGATATGCCATTCTGAAGCTAACTGGAATGACCAAAGTTAGTTAACAGTAGTGATTGGAGACTTACTGGTGATGGTAATTTACTTCTTTTGCCTCTGATTAATGTGGTACTTGCTTGTCTCTGCCACTCAGTCAACTGTCAGTTACTCTTCTTCCCCATTAGGTGGCCAAGCCAATTGAGTGCAATCACAAAAGAAAACAAAATGTTCATCTTAATTTTAAAAAATGCCATTAATGACATTCATGTAAACAAAAAAGAACTAATAAATACTTTGTTGTCTTATGGTTAATTATCAAACCTAAATCAAATTCTCAAATATTTACGATTGCTTCAAAACAAAACATGATTGAAAATAAAGAATATAATTGTTATTAGGCTATAAGTGAAAAGGTGGGAAGTACTTTTTCTACTATTTGAAAACTGTGATAGTTTGCATAAGGTGTGTAGGTTTGTCAGCTGGAAATGTCTGTATTTGATTTATTTCAGCATGAAGATACATCAGCGAGATTTAAAACGATTTCAAATGACCGATAAAATGAGCCTGCATTTCTTCCATAATTGTTATTTCGGTTAATAGATAGATAGTGTGTCATCAACACACAAGAGTGACGCAGGCGAACATGCCGTTCACACTCATACCGCACAGACAAAAGGGAGATATTTAAAGACATTGTTTCAACTGACTTGTGCGGAACTTGTACTTTGATCTTCTGTTATCGATAGAGGATGGTTGTGTGAGTGCGATGCGCGCGCAATGCTGGGCTGTAAAGCTGGTTCGTGGAGCCATTCTGGGTGACGTCGTGAGCCGGGTGTTGGACGGGGGCTGCCGCAGCGCCAGGACTACACGAGTGGAAATGTGACCGACAATGACCTCGACCACGTCGTGTGCTAGTGTTTTACACTCGTCGTTTAGTATTCGACACATGTAAACACGCGATTTTATCATCTGTTTTTAGATTAAATCCATGCGTTGGTCATTAGCCACGAGCCTTTTCTTATCTCGAGAGCGCGACACATCCAACGCGTCTGTGTATTTCGAGGCTCGCCTCCAATCTTACGCTGTAGCCCTTTGCTGTGCATTGAAATATGGACAAGGCCAAATCAATGATGGATCAGAAAGGATCGGGTCCTTGCTGCACAAACGGCATGCACAAGCCACTCCGGCGACAGCTGAGCAACGGGAGCTGTAGCCCGTACAGTCCGACTGACGACAATTACCACCATCTTCACCACGACCCTCAAACCAACGGGTCCCCGGCGAAAAGGTGCCGGCTGCGGAGGCGAATGGAATCGGCGAGGAAAAACAGACCGCGTAAGTTTATAGTCACAGACACCTTCAGAGTTCATCAGATAATATTTGTACATTTGATTTCAACCGTGTCTGATAAGCAGCAATGCCCTAAGATACACGGGACGTGACCGTGTCAATGTTTAACACATTATTGCGATAATAATGGTTTAAACTGGGCGATTTGTTTGGATTAAAATGAATTTTTGCCAGTGTAATGACACAATATATTAGTTGTCCTAATTTTTAAGACAGTAACTGGCATTGAATGTATGTGTGAATTCATTTCTTGTAAGGTATTTACAGATATCATATCGACTTCAGGCCTCACAAGTTTACCTCAGGTAACTTAATTACTGATCTTTGAACAAGAGTCCAAAGTATCTTAAGGAATTGATCGATTCTGAAAGAATTGAAAATTTGATTTAATTTACTGCCCTCAAAAGCATGTTGCCAAAATTGTGAGGTAATTAACGTACTCATTTCCAGAGAATATGTAGCTTTATAAATGTTGACAGTTTGTTAAGTATAACACAGTAGTTGGTTTATAATAATCTGCGGTCCACTAAGTCAGATAAATCAGTAATGACTGGTTCATAATTGTTTTGTTTTGTTTCACTAAAAAGAACCGATTCATAAGAGTCATTTGTCCGGGAATCGAACTACACTGGACGCACAGTATGTATTTGATTCACTAAAAAGAACCGACTCATAAGAGTCTTTGGTTCGGAAATCGGACTGTACCGGTCTCGCTGTAGTGTTTCTCACTGTGGATTCGGTAGCAGTGTCAGTGAATAGTATTGCAGGAAACCCTGTCAGATTGCGGCGCTCCGTTCGTTTCAGCAAAGGATGACATTCCCATTTTAACGCTTCTCGAACGTTCAGTACATGAAAATTATTCGGGTCTGGCATTTAAAGAAATGCTTCTCAGTTCCCAATCCTAGTACAAACTGACATTATCTCAATGCTGTCTCTGACCTGTCTTCCGAAGAGTGTCTTTTGTTTTGAGGAAACCTTTGAGACTGTTCTTCTCGCTCTCTGATTGGTCGTTGTGAAGTCAGGAGGTGTGCTGAAAACACTCCTGATGGAAAGGCTCGACGCGTTTCGACCAATCAGCTCTTGACTTTGGTCTTCGCGTGGCTGCTTTAAAGGGCTTGACAGAAACCCCTCCACCCTACACTATGCAGAATTCTCCGTTTTTATTCACTTTTTCGAAGCGACGCTAAGAATTCAACTTTGAAAGTGTAGTTATAATGCCATTACAAAGCAAACTAAACTATTAATTGCGTTTTGCCTGTGGGCTCCCCTGCTGTTTGGGCTTTTTTGTTTGCACCTGAATATATTAGGACTGCCAGCAGGATGAAGTTGAAGTGTTCAAGGAAGCCAGGTAAGACATCACCTCATCCATGTGTGATGTTGTAAAAAACCTACTTCCTTGGAATTGCTCTGATAGTTTTAGTTTTTTTGTTGTTTGTTTGATTTTTCATTGCAGCTACTTTGGGGACACTGTAAATTGTTTTATTTTCTTTGGTATTTACTAAAGTGCAAGTATGTTGTAAAATAAAGTGATTTCGTGTCAGGTTTAGTTTGTGTTGCCAAAGGTAATGGCAGCAGAAAATTGAACGCTTAATACAGAGTTCAGTGAGTCTTTAGTTGTCAGACTGCATGCCATGCCAGCTTGTCAACATTCCTTAGCTTTAGCCTTGTTTTTGTGTGTTGTAGTAACACCTTTCTTAGCAGCAATTGTTTGTTTTATTGGTTTATTGTTCTTTTAAATATACTCAACCAGGGCTCGACAATAAGGAGTGCCCGATAGCCTGGGCCCAGCGTGAAAGACGTTCGGGACAGACGAATTTGTCACTTGCCCGATCGGGCCACTGCAGCGTCGTCACGAAATTTTATCATTTGCATGTTTTTTAAGCCTTGTTAATTAAAAAAATTCAAGCGATTAAAAAGCATTTGGGCGCGAAAGACAACTCCATTCAGTTCCCGCGCGCTGTGTGTTCTGTGCGAACAGCGCGCGCACAGACAGCCGCCTGAACGGGCAAATACATACAAACGTATGTCAAAATAGCCGTCCCGGCAAGTAGCTTTAACAATGATCAATCTATATTGAATTTATACACTAGAGTACAGATGCACCGATCGACCGGACATTTTTTGTTTTATTTCAGACTATCTGAAATATAGTCTATTGTGCTTGCGCACAAACTGCACTGCAATTATTTTCCCAATGGCCATTTGTGTGGAAATATTACTATTATAATTAGTTTGTATACGGTCATTAACAGAGGCCAGAGATGCTGAAGACGGACACAAAGAGGAAAAAATAGCTACTGTAGCAGACCGAACAAGATCACTGTTCACGATGCACGAAATATAGGAAGAAAATCCAAATATTGAATTTTATATGAATGTGTTTCTGAGGGGTTTTCAGAAATGGCGTTTCCTTTTCATTAGTCTCTGTATGATGCATTTCAATTAGTGTTAATACGCGCAGCGCTGCTGTGTTTACAGCGGTAACCAAGGCAACGCTGTATTACTGTACCATAAGCGCCGCCTGCTGTCAGAGAGTGAATCCGCGTCTCATTCAGCTCATCTGCTGTTTCTGTTTCATACTTTATTATCCAAAATGAGTCAGACATCAGTGCACTGAACAGTGAAGTTGAAGTTTATTGAATTCCATTCAAGTTTATTTCACTTCGGAACATTCATTCACAGATTTGCGCTACTGTCTTCACACACAGACAAAACTTACTAGAGAAGTGTGAAGTGTGACATAATCTACCTCTGTAAACCCTCACAATATAAATTCACGTCTCGCTCACTTTAATGCCCTTTGATTGTAACGTGTACGTTCCCTTGGAACTGGAATCATGGCGGAATTTCATGTGAAGTCCACTTCACAGGGCACTTGCGGTCAAATAAGACAACGTGTGAATGCTGCCTGTACAAGAGACCTCCTTACTGAAGTGAAAGTGTTGACTGGTGTCACTATCTCACGAATGCGCCGGCGGATCTCCAACAAATTTGGGGGATCCCTTCAGCTCGAGGAGCCCTCTCGAACGCCACCCTCCGCGCATCGGTAGCCCCCCGGGATCGGTCGGCGCCGGACCGCGAATTTAACCACCCATAACTCCCAAACCCTGGGGGCTATCGATGTGGGGGTGGTCTCATTCTAAAGCGGGCCTCTAGACGTACACTTGATTCGCGTTCGAGAGAGCGTTCGAATTCCCCCGAATTTGGTGCGGATTCGCCGCGCAGTTACGGAGATATGGCCGTTCAAAGTTTCAATGGTTTTCCATAGACTTGAGCGTTAAAGCGTTTCATCCAGGTCGCCAGTAGAAAACAATGGAGCACAAACTCTGCTGGACAAACTAAGTAATTACACCATTTCAAGCATTTTATCTGCGTAATATGTTCTGTAAAAAAAAATTCATATCGGCGGCATATTCGCCGATACCGATATATCGGCGACAGGCTCATATCGGCCGATAATATCGGCAAAACGATATATCGGTCGGGCTAGTATTAACCATAGATTTTATTTAGATATTTCTTTCTCAGTTGGTAAAGACTTCTATGAGCTGACATTTTACATTTATTAATTTAGAAGATGTCTTTATCTAAAGCGACAAATGATGAATACAACAAGCAATTTATTATAAGGAGGCAATAACACAAGAAGTGCTGGCAATGCAAAGTTTAAAAAATTGTCCAGAAAGTACAAGAAGGAGATATATAAGAATAGTGAAAATATGGAAAAATAAGTCAGATTTTTTTTTCAATATTATTATATATAATTTTTTTCAATAACAGCTGGATGCTGTTAAGTGCAACGTTTTGGACACTCTACCACAGGGTTTTGTTTTCGTATGTTCGTTTCAGTGGTTTTGTTCAGATTTACACACTACAAGCACACAAAGTGGATAGGCATTAGATATTTCTGAATAAAAAGACCCTATTATATTATTATTATTATATTTAAAATAAAAAAAATGTAATTGCATTGGAGGGTATATTTTGTCTGCTTTTGCAGTACCTTATAGTAAGTGACTGTAGCTCTGACAATAATGTTAAATTTGGCAATGGCTATGCAAGTGATGGGCATGTTTCTTCTGTTCTAGTTTGATGGGTGCCAAGTGCGCAATGTTCTTCATCAGGGATGGATTTAGTGAATTGGGGCCCCGGGCAAAATATAGGAATGGGGTTCTATACATTTGCACAATTTTACCTAGATCAACCTTGAGGTTCCTTTTTTGTTGTGATGCTTGCTGCTGCACAATGGTGCCCCATAGTTGTGTCCAATGTTTCTACATTTTTCATGTAAATTTTATAATTAGGGTTACAAAGGGGTGGAACATTTCCAGTAAATTTCTGGAAACTTTCCAAAAATCCCTGGAATATTCCAAAAAAAAAATCCTGGAAAGTTTCCAAAATTTCTGGAATTTTTCTGAAATTTACTGGAAGTTTTCCACCTTTTTGCAAACCTAGTCATAATGGCTTTCTTTCATGTAGATCATGAAATAGCAATTGATTTACTGTTTAGATACAGGTTTTCACAAAAAATTATAAAATGATAAACCTCACAATTGAGCCTTTTTACATTTTTTTTTTTTTTTTTAAGAAAAGGGATAAGTCAGAAGTATAAATTGAAATATTAATTTAAAATGGGGTTATGTGGGTGGATTTTCACATTGGTCTGAACAAAAACTGCAGACCGGATTATTGAAAATGCACATTCATTCTCTGCCAGTAGTATGGTTGACCATTTCAACCATAGATATGTATAGCGAGATACCCTATTAGCGGCTGTTTCTATGGGCCGCTATACGTAAGTCATCCGCCATATTGGAATGGTCAAAGAAGATCCGTGAACACTCGAAAGCAAGTATGTCTGTAACCTTAGTTATGCGCATATATGAATATCTATATCTGCAGTAGACTTCAGCAGACGCTTTTGCTAATCTAATACAATACAAGACAAAGATGTTAACTAAGACAACATTTAAAAGGTACTATAGTTATTGTTCATCTAGTTCTTGTCTGAATTAACCCTTTTTTTCTCTCTTCTTCTTTTTCTTCTTCTTACCCTATACTGTTTTGATTATCATTCAGAGTTAAATGTGGGGGTAAGATAAAAGAAAGCGCAGACAATGTTCCCTTTACTGTATTGTCCTATGTTATGTTTTGTTTTTATCTGTCTGTGTAATAAAGCATGTGGGGGAAAAAAAAGGTACTATAGTTTAAAAACCTGTAATGTTGCGTTAAAACATTAAAAACAGAAGCCAACACATTCTTACCTGTGAAAGTTTATCCAGTTTCTTTAGGAATTTAAATTTCAGCGGTTTTTACATCCAGAGGCTGCTCAATGTTGTGGCATCTTGAAACTCGTTGATTTTTATTGTGAGTGACAACGCATACACCATTCCAAGATGGTCGTCTTCATGCTTGGAGTGGTCGAATGTGGAATCTACCTATACATACCTATGATTTCAACGGCTATTTGTCGGTTTAAGGAAGTGACGTCTTTATTCCTTGAATGTTTCCCGTTAGTGGTCGAGCGCAGTGAGATTGTGATCATTTATTTAAACTGCTCGGTGGTTGGGTGCTCCTTCTGGCCTCGAGCTAAAATTCGGAAATTTAAGTGTTGAGATTTCCGAGAAACGTGCCTGGATTGCAGCAGTGAAGCGAGAAGGCTGGATAACAACTAGCAACTAGGATATACAGAACAGATTTCGATTCAGGTAAGTAAATGTCATTTTTGTTTTTTTCATTTGATTATTTGTATTTCTTTACGTTAACTCTTAAAGAATGATGCAGCATAATTTAAGATAGCATTGTAGTTTCATCATTGCGTTTTGGTTTGTGTTTAGTGAAAAAAAGCCAATGGTGCATCCGAAATTGCTTACTATCTGAGAAGGTACTATATTTGAATTTGAATTTACTTTGTTAAAAAAGTATGTTCTATGTATGAATATGGGTAGTATGAATGAAATTTGGACGTACTACATCTGCCTTGTTGTTACTGTCACGTGGCCTACCAGCGTCAGTTGCGTCGCTTCACTGCCATTCATAAATCCTCTCCCTTGGCCTCATGGGATGGTAAAGTGTCCATCGAATATGCACTTCAGAATCCGGGCGGAAGAAGTAGGTCATCCGGGTACTTTTCCTTTACTATGAATTCGGACATACTACTCGCCTCACATACCGTTTTTCGCCTACTATATAATAGGGAAGTATGCAATTTCGGACACATACTTTTTTTATTTCTGTTTTATTGCGAAGTGTTATATGTGAGCTATAATTAAGTATGAGTTCACATTAGTTGTTTGCTATCTTGTCAGCAGAAAAATGCGGTGAATAACACGTTATAGAAATTTATACTGTAAACTTGAATGTTGTATTGTGTAACGGTTAACTGCAGTAGTTTACAAAAGGTAATGGTAAACATTAGCTAATGTTAATTCCAACATATACAGATGCATTAAATCAAATAATTGTTTTTCTACTTTTGTCTTTAGGAAAGCCACCATCTGTAACGTAAGATAACTAAGATGCTTCAGGGAGACAGGAAGGACAGCTGATCGTCCTGCACTGCCAAACCACGTGACCATTTCTGTCTGTCAAATATCTGTGAAACGTGTTTATGTTGATGTTTTAGTTGTTGAAGCATTTTATGTTCATACAAATATTTACAAATATTAATACATTTGTTGGAAATAAATGGAGTTGAAATTGAGAGGGGATTTTTTGTTTACATACAGTACTGGTCAAAAGTTTGGACACATTACTTTTTATAATGTTTTTGAAAGAAGTATCTTATGCTCATCAAGTCTGCATTTATTTGATAAAAAAATACAGACAAAAACAGTAATATTGTGAAATATTATTACAATTTAAATTAATATACATATACATATGTACAGTATGTTTCCCCAGTAACGGCTGTAAACAAAGCAGCGCTCCGCTCATTAACGCTCCTTTATCAGATAAAATGAAAATGCCATCAAAACTTTTCTGAAGACAGTAGGTTCCCTTCAGAGATTCATTCATATAAAACCTTGAATTAGTGAGAATAAGAAAAGTGTTAAAAAAATATAACCTATATTGATGAGAAAAGTCCACTGATGAGTGAAAGCCTGTGTGCCTGGGCTCAGACCAGTTGCCTACACTCTCCAAAGACTGTCTAATTGTAAACTTTAAAATACATTTATTTTTTGTTATTTTAACTACAAATTTAAATTAAACTGAAAAAAATTATGAAAAGGAAACTATGCAGTTACACACCTAAGGATTATATCAACCAAATAAGTAACTGCGTATGCGTCCTCTACTTGGGTCCTTTTCATAAATGAAGCAGCATTTAAAACAATAAACATATAATACACACTGTTGCGCAATATTTAATTACAGGTTCAGATGCATGATATTTTTATTTGCTACAAGCAGGATACACAAGAAACATGTTCAATGTAGATGGTTGTCGGGGAGAAATGCCACGCTTTCTTAGTAAAAGAGCCAATCGCTAAATGATGAAGTCAGCACGTCACTGCAGCTGCCGTTAGAAGTCCTGGTTGCTATAGAAACAGTCAGTGTTCTGAGACGGGTGCTTAGGACTGCGCATGTGCACTGGATGGTCTAGCCAGAAAAATAAGCTTTTTTTTTACACTATTTGAGCAAAAGAAACAACATTTATGAGACAGTTGTTGTCAGATTTATTTGGTAATGAAATTTAATCGTAAGCTTGGCAAACAGTTTTGGAGAATTTGATGTTTCCCTGTTCAAAGAGATAGGAGCTGCACTTGCATGCCCGAGAGTCGTTTCAAAGATGGCCACCGAGTGAAATGACTTGCCTTAAAGGGACTTTGGTAATAAACACCTTAAACCACAACCGTTCACGTGTCTGTGCTTAATGCGCATCTCGTATATGAAAAGCATTTTAGGGGGCCCTTGGCTTTTGGGGGCCAGAGGCAGTCGCCAACCTTTGTCTAATGGGTAAGTAATGGGTTCATTCTCACTCTTTTGCACAGCCTCCTTCTCTTTCATATGGACACTCACTTGCCTGCCAGTTTCTCTCTGTCAGCCCATCTCCTTCTCTTGGTCACATTCTCTCTCGCCACTTCTTCGCCTTTCCCAGCCCCTCACATGGACACACTTGCCTGCCAATTTTCACTTTCTCTCTCTCTCCCTCTCCATGCCTGGCTGACTGGGGGAAGTGAACAGACCTTTCACCCACATGGGCTGTTTGATGTCATTATGTCACACCACTGTCACACCCCCTGTTCATTTGCTGCTTCTGGCTCAGGTCATTCAGGTCAATGAAGAAGTAACATTCTTTAATTCCTGGCTAGGATATTCTTCTGCATTTTTCACTTCAAATAACATGCATTTCCCCTGTGTTTTTTTAAAACTATGGAAGCAGAGCACGTGCATATTCATTTAGATGGCCTCTCGTCCACTTGATTGCGTTCTCTGAAATAAGAGTGATGCCCAAAATAACTCTCCCAGCATACGCCAAGATCTATATTAGTGGGGGAAAGAAGTGTGAGGGTCATTTGAGATGATGTTGTAGCACCAGCTGACACTGACAGTGTTTTTATACCGGGCAGGTCAGTCATAAATCTGATTGATCAGTCACTGATAGATCTGCGTGTTCCAGGCTATTCAAGTTCAGATCTGTGTCCCTGACCTGCCCTAATTCTTCCAGATTTCTCTGGTGTCAGTCCAGTGAATGTCAGATGTAAGAGTCATATCTGTAATGATTTACCTATTACTTGATAAGCTTGTTATACACTGATCTGTAATTTAGGTCAAATTAGACATTTCTGTGTACTGATATGTATTTAATTATAGAAACAGACCTTTGCATCAGTTTGAACATTTGTACTGGTTCTGCTGTCTTAGTGTGTGATTCTCACCTGCTAAGCATCCTAGATCAGCCATTTGCAGCCTCATGGCTGATGCCATGGTAACTGTCCAACTCTTCATTAGCTGCTGCAGTGACTGCCTCTCTTTGTCTGGCCTGCTTGTTTGCTTGTAAAAGTTAGGTTTTTTGTTTGTTTGTTTGTTTAGCTGCTTTGAAAGTAGTCTCTTATGCTCACCAAAGGCTGAATTTATTTGATCAAAAATACAAAGAAAAATATTAAGATTGTGAAATATTACTACTATTTTAAAATAAGTGTTTTCTATTTTAATATATTTTGAAATGTAGTTCATTCCTGTGATGGCAAAGCTGAATTTTCAGCAGCCATTACTCCAGTCTTGAGTGCCACATGATCTTTCAGAAATCATTATAATATGCTGATTTGGTGCTTAAGAAACATTTCTTTTAATTATCAGTGTTGTGGAATCCATGGTTCCTTTTTTTCAGGACTCTGGTGAATAGAAAGTACGAAAATCTTTTATACAACAACATAAAAGAATATAAAAGTCTTGACTGTCACTTTTGATCAATCTGATGCATCCTTGCTGAATAAAAATATTAATTCCTTTAAAAAGAGAAAAATCTTTTGAACTGTATTGTACACACTACAAACATATGGTCAAGTTGTTGTTCTTAAAATGTTTTAACTCCCCTTTTCCTTATTTTATTGTGTACTTGAGGGTTTTTTTTTGTAGTTTTTATTTGCCAGTCCAGTTCATTAGTTTATCCTTGGAACACAACTTATACAATCATGTTGATCAGTCTCTTTATCTCTTTCTAGCTTTTCCATGGTTTGGGATGGATATCGGTGGTACTTTAGTAAAGCTTGTTTACTTTGAGCCAAAAGACATCACTGCAGAAGAGGAGCTGGAAGAGGTGGAGAATCTGAAGAGCATACGCAGGTACCTCACCTCCAACACGGCCTATGGCAAAACTGGTGTCCGTGATGTACACCTGGAGCTACGCAACCTGACAATCTGCGGTCGTACAGGGAACCTTCACTTCATCCGCTTCCCCACCGCTGCCATGCACAGTTTCATCCAGATGGGCAGAGATAAGCACTTCTCCAGCCTACATACCACACTGTGCGCCACTGGTGGTGGGGCATACAAGTTTGAGAACGACTTCAGAACGGTAAAAAGATGGACCACAGCATGGTTTTAAAATTGTTTTCACAGTAAAATCAAATGTTTAACATACAGCTATGTGGAGTATTATGTGGACCAATGAGATTTCACGGTGTTGAAAAAAATACAGTAAATACAGTATTTAAAAAAATAATGTATAAAAAAATAAAAAATATTATTACATTTAAAAAATATATTTTAGAAAATATTTGTAATATACTTTAATATTTAATTTATTAAATGGGATGGCAAAGCTGAATTTTCAGCAGCCATTACTCCGGTCTTCAGTGTCACATGACCCTTCAGAAATCATTCTGATGTTCTGATTTAATGCTTAATATTACTGAAAACAGTAATATTTGTGTGGAAGCTGTGATACACTTATTTTCTAAAGTTCAAAAGAACAGCATTTATTTGAAATGTAAATGTTTTGTAACAGTGTAAAAGTTTTTAATGCCACTTTTGTCTAATTTACTGCATCCTTGCTGAATCATACTGACACCAAACTTTTTAACTTTAGTAATGTATTATATATCTTGTTTTAGGGATGTTTAATTTAAAACTCACCTAAACTGACCTATAAAAAACATTAAGGTCTCTGTTTGATAAAGTCCTAACTGTTAAATGTAAAGTCGAAGCATCATATTTTTTCTTTTAATAAAAAAGTCATCAGGAAATATTTTTAAGGGATGAAACTTGTACGTTCAGAGCAACGAGTAGTCATGAATCCTTCTTTTTTTCTTTATAGATGGCAGACCTAGAGCTGCTGAAGTTGGATGAGCTGGACTGTCTGATCCAGGGGCTGCTGTACATAGACTCGGTCGGTTTTAACGGTCATCCTGAGTGCTATTACTTTGAGAACCCCTCCGACACACAGAACTGCATCAAGAGACCCTGTTGTCTTGACAACCTTTTTCCCATGTTGCTGGTCAACATTGGCTCGGGCGTCAGCATTCTGGCAGTGTACACCAAGGACAACTACAAACGAGTGACAGGCACCAGGTCAGCACAGCTGAGCATCATGCACCATATAGAAGAAACCTACAAATAGGAGTTGTCAGTAACATGGCCAGACTTAGTCCATGCCCATCTAAACTAGTTTATTAACATTTACATTGGTTTGGCAGATTCTAAAGCCAATTCAAGTGCACTACACTCTCAATAACTATGTGATAAAATTAGGATTTTGTGGTTTTGTCCATTTGTTTCAATGTCGATAATGGCTGAAAAAGCAATTTGCTTCTGTGTTTTCTATGAGCAACTTTCGTCGAGATCCATCAATGCCATGGAGCTTTTATCTTAAAAGTTATCTCTCCGGTATGAAATATGAGTTTACCATTTGCTAACTTCATGAACTTGATTGTTTTCTCGTCTTTCATGGACACAGAATCAAAAGCCTGTTAGAAGCAAAAGAACACAAAATCACCTCCTGCTGTGTTCATTTTTTTCCTTTGAAACATGAGCCTGAGTCATCTTCAGATGATAACAAATCTGTGATTGACAACAGAGTAGGTTGTGAAGTTTACTGACTGTCAGTCGATGGATGAGCATTTTAAATGTGGTTGTAGCAGAATGGAACAGCCTTTCAGCCATGATTGACAGAAGGGAGGAGATTTGTCAGGAGTAGTCAAAGCTGATGTGCAAATCACAGGAGGATCAGGAACTACTACTCACATTTTATAAACATCTGTGTGCGTTTCCCTGTCAATTTGATCCTGTTCAGTTTAGTCATTTCTATACATTTACCACATTAATTTACACTACTATGTTTTTGAAAGAAGTCTTTTACGCTCATCAAAGCTGTGTTTGTTCGATTAAAATAATGTAAAATCAGCAATAGTGTTATTTTTACAATTTTAAATAACTTTTAATGATTTCTGAAGGATCAAGACTGGAGTAATGGCTGCTGAAAATTCAGCTTTGCCATGATAGGAATAAATTACATTTTAAATTGTAATCATTATTACTATTTTTAATCAAATAAACACAGCATTGATGAGAATAAGAGACTTCTTTCAAAACCATAAAATCTTAGTTATTCCAAACTTTTGGTAAAGTATGTGTAATATTATATAATGTGTGACGTAGACCTTGCTTTGTGTTGCAGTGTCCACTCCTTTTGTAAGCTGGTCTGTTTTTTACCTGTTTTTGCCATAGGCACATAGTTTAAATAGTGGTCACAAGGTCAAATTGTATGCGTTTATGAATGCACATGTGCACTTCAGATGTAGCCTGTAACCATGTTTTGACTCCAAATGTTTCTTTCTTATTTTTTTTCTCTCTTTAGTCTTGGTGGAGGGACGTTTTTGGGGCTTTGCTGCCTGTTAACGGGTTGTGAGACTTTTGAAGAGGCCCTTGAAATGGCCAGCAAAGGGGACAGCACCAATGTGGACAAACTGGTGAAGGACATCTATGGAGGAGACTACCAGCGCTTTGGCCTACAAGGGTCTGCAGTGGCTTCAAGGTACAAAAGACACTCTGTGTTTGTGTCCATGGTATCAGGTGACAAAGATCCACAAATGAAATGTGACACTACTGAGCTGTATTTATGGGGATTGTGTGTAGGCTTGTCTGTTTCATGTGTCACAAATGCAAAGATCCTACTTCCTTTTCATGGCTATTTTAATAGATGCTACTGTTTAAAAGTTTGCTATCAGTCTTTTTTTTTTTTTTTGAAAGAAATTAATACTTTTCAGGGCTCCAGACTGCGCCTAAAATGGAGATATTTTTGCTGAGATCGCCACTGGCAACTATATACATTTTTTATATAAATAAACATGTTGTGATTTAAAAATTTGTAAGCAATGCCTTTTTTCCTGCTTGTTTTGCGATCACATCTTTTGTTAAGTTGACGTAATAAACTGAGACGATGCGCATCAAAGTTTTATTGGAAAAAACAGTCCTCATCTCTGCCAAACAGCAACTAAAAGCAGCTCCAGTTGTGCATCATGAGAGTGATCGAAAATGACAGAGACGTGCGACGTACAAGTGAAGAAAAGTAGTGTCTATTTCGTGCACAACTTGAACAAACTAAAACAGGTAAAGCTGTCAGCTGTGTGGACATTAACAATTCTCGTTTATAATCGATACTGATATGGCTTGTTGTTATCAGGATCTTTAGTCTATATGCTGAGTTGTTAAGGCGTGAATTATTATTTGTAGCACACTTGCCATCCAATAATCACAATAAACTTTAAAAATGCTCTGTTACCTTTTATTAAACGAAGTGTCAGCTTTAAAATTCATAATGAAATTCAAACAATAAATACCGTTTTGGCGCTCTTTAATGCCTCAGTTCAAGCAGCATGTGAACCCATCATATCTTTCCCTTTACTACTATAGTATGAAATAAACATGAATGGACATCAAAAGGTATATTACAAGTTACAGAACAATTACTGAAATGTCTCATGCAATCGCTCATTCAGTGTTTCAAACTGCGGAAAACGTGTAAAGCTTGTAAACAATGCCACATAACGTAACAATCGTTTACCTCAGAATAACCATTCGGCATCCATAAACTCATTAGTCAGCTAGAAAAAAAATAACTATAAAGAAGAGTATTTTGCTAAATATATCCATTATATTGCATATTCATACTTTTACTTAACCTGTTGTCTACATAATAAGAAAGAATGCAAGTAGCTAAAGATAAAATTCAACACCTCCTATATAATATGTGACCCTGGACCACAAAACCAGTCATAAGGGTCAATGTTTCGAAATTGAGATACATCATCTCAAAGCTGAATAAATAAGCTTCGATGTATGGTTTGTTAGGATAGGACAATATTTGGCCGAGATACAGCTATTTTAAAATCTGGAATCTGAGGGTGCCCATTGGGCAAGCCCATCTTGAGAGGCGTGAATCTCTGCAGGCTTTAAAGGCCACACTTCAAGAGACCCGCCCCAGTCGGTGGTTAAAAATGCTCTGTTACCTTTTATTAAACGAAGTGTCAGCTTTAAAATTCATAATGAAATTCAAACAATAAATACCGTTTTGGCGCTCTTTAATGCCTCAGTTCAAGCAGCATGTGAACCCATCATATCTTTCCCTTTACTACTATAGTATGAAATAAACATGAATGGACATCAAAAGGTATATTACAAGTTACAGAACAATTACTGAAATGTCTCATGCAATCGCTCATTCAGTGTTTCAAACTGCGGAAAACGTGTAAAGCTTGTAAACAATGCCACATAACGTAACAATCGTTTACCTCAGAATAACCATTCGGCATCCATAAACTCATTAGTCAGCTAGAAAAAAAATAACTATAAAGAAGAGTATTTTGCTAAATATATCCATTATATTGCATATTCATACTTTTACTTAACCTGTTGTCTACATAATAAGAAAGAATGCAAGTAGCTAAAGATAAAATTCAACACCTCCTATATAATATGTGACCCTGGACCACAAAACCAGTCATAAGGGTCAATGTTTCGAAATTGAGATACATCATCTCAAAGCTGAATAAATAAGCTTCGATGTATGGTTTGTTAGGATAGGACAATATTTGGCCGAGATACAGCTATTTTAAAATCTGGAATCTGAGGGTGCAAAAGAAATTTCTTAGCAATGCATTTTACTAATCAAAAATTACGTTTTGATGTATTTACGGTAAGAAATGTACAAATTATCTTCATGGAACATTATCTTTACTTAATATCCTAATGATTTTTGGCATAAAAGAAAAATCAATAATTTTGACCCATTCAATGTTTTTTTGTTTATTGCTAAAAATATACCCCAGCGACTTAAGACACATGACAGTATGACCGAAATGTTAAAGTGTTAATATATATATATATATATATATATATATATATATATATATATATATAAAAAAATATATTTATTCTGTGGCAATTATTTGGGGAATCTGAGGGTGCAAAAGAAATTTCTTAGCAATGCATTTTACTAATCAAAAATTACGTTTTGATGTATTTACGGTAAGAAATGTACAAATTATCTTCATGGAACATTATCTTTACTTAATATCCTAATGATTTTTGGCATAAAAGAAAAATCAATAATTTTGACCCATTCAATGTTTTTTTGTTTATTGCTAAAAATATACCCCAGCGACTTAAGACACATGACAGTATGACCGAAATGTTAAAGTGTTAATATATATATATATATATATATATATATATATATATATATTTAAAAAAACATATTTATTCTGTGGCAATTAATTGGTGCCTTTTTTTTCTTATAGGAGCCAATGGCTCCTTAATTTTTTATTTTTTTTGTCTGGAGCCCTGCTTTTATTCAGCACAGATGCATTCAGTTGATTTAAAGATGGCAGTAAAGACATTTATAATCTTATAAATGATTGTATGTATGTATTATTTATATATTTTGTTTTATTGCATTTATCATAACTACACAATCTACACTGACTTAGATGCATAGTCTATAGAAATTGCACTGTAAATAAAGGAGTGCCATGGGACTGTTTCAATATCCAGCACTATGTTATTATGCAACAAGTAGATAAACAGGTCTCTTTAAATAGATAAACTGGTCTGATAGGTACATAAATATGTGCTTGTGTTTTTATTGTAGCTTTGGTCACATGATGAGCAAAGAGAAGAGGGACAGTATTTCTAAAGAGGATCTGGCCCGAGCCACACTCGTCACTATCACCAACAACATTGGCTCCATTGCACGCATGTGTGCAGTTAATGAGGTGTGTTGTGTTTTTATGTGTGCATCTGCGTGCTGTCAACAGCAGCTGTGAGCGTCTGACTGGCCACTCTGGGCTTCTCTACAGTGTTGCCTTGTAGCTTGGTGATCAAGCAGCATTGTACAGGGCTTTCAGTGTGTACAGAACACCACCAGAGCAGAAACTCCCTACAATACCCGGAGAATACATGATTTTTTTTATCATATTAGAGTAGTATCTATGACAAGATGGTGATGGCAAATGCTTTAAATTTGACCAAAAACACCTATTTGAGCACCTCCTATAAAACGTCTATAAAAGGAATTGCTTGTCCCCCTGCTGGTGCTGAAGAAGTACTGCAGGAGTCAACCTGCTGGTAATTTACCCCCAGTTTCACAGACCAGGCTAAAGCCTAGTCCATGCATGTCTGAGCTGTTTTAACTGAAAGAAACTTGCACTGACCCATCTTAAAATATGTATGTGTCATTGATTAGTCTCAAGATGCACACCAGTAATGTTTTTTTCCAAGGCATGTTTATACTTAAATGTCCTAATTGAACTATAACTTAATCCTGGCGTAATTTAAGCCCTGTCTGTGAAACCAGGCCTTAGACTTATAAACAGGCCCACATGGAATATAGGCTTGCAGAAAGAATGCAGTACTCAGCACTCAGTTTAACTAATTAAACTAATTAAGTGTTTAAATCTGTTTCACAGAATTCTGTAGATTTTCTTCCAAAATGAGTGTGGAAAAACATCCAAACATTCTATCCTGGTCATACTGAGCAATGTTTCTGTTTTGTCCTGTAGAAGATCGAACGGGTTGTTTTTGTGGGGAACTTTCTGCGTATAAACACAGTGTCGACAAAGCTTCTTGCCTATGCTATGGACTTCTGGTCCAAGGGCCAGCTGAGGGCCCTTTTCCTGGAACATGAGGTAATTCTCTGTGTTTTAAGAATTTATGTTTAATCGGTTTCATTTATTTTCTCAAATATTTTGAAATACACTATCTTTCAAAAGATGTGATAACAATGTTTTTAAGTCTCTTATGCACACCCAGGCTGCATTTATTTGATCAAAAATACAGTAAAAACAGTTATATTAAGAACTACTATTACAATTTAAAATAACTGTTTTCTATTTTAATGTATTGTACAGTGTAATTTATTTGTGATGGCAAAGCTGAATTTTCAGCAGCCATTACTCCAGTCTTCAGTATCATTCTAATATGCCAATTTAGGTCTCAATAAATATTTCTCATCATTATTAATGTTGAAAACAGTTGTCCTGCTTAATATTTTTGTGGATTTTTTGATGAATAGAAAGTTAACTAGTAAACTAACTGCATTTAATTGAACTAGAAATATTTTTTAACAATGTAAAAGTCTTTACTGTCACTTTTGAGCTATTTAATGTGTCCTTGCTGAATAAAAGTAAAAACAATACTGGACCCAAACTTTTGAAGCAGTGTCTAACAGTGAAGATTATCAGAATCACTTATTTTATAGAGCGGTAGTTTAATGAAAACATGTATGTTTATATGCACACTTATATGTGTGTATGTGCGTTTCAGGGATACTTTGGAGCCGTCGGTGCTTTTCTAGAACTGCTGAAGTCGTCTGATGACGCATAAAGGAAATCATCATCTCTGATGATCCAGAAGCTGCTTTAAGACTTCCACGCAGAAGCGCCAACAGGAAAACTGGAACACTGGGAAATTTAAAAGAAGCCATTATAGTAACTAACCTGTAAATAACCCTTGAAATAAAATTCTAAACAATATTTTATGAGTAACTTAGTCTCCCTCAGACTTCCAACTCGAACGGAACCTTATTGTTCATTTGTTTTCCTTTTATACTGTTTTTAAATATCATTGTGTAGTGAACAGGGAGAGTTTATATGATGGCCAAAACCTGCTGTGTTAAAGTTTTGCTATCCTTGACCTGCCACCAGGTGAAAGTGTCTTTCTGTTTCTAGGCCTGGTTAAATAATGGAGTTTTTTGTGTTAAACTGCTGTTCAAACACATTGTTGGAGTTGATTTTTAAGCCTCAGGTGCTGTGTTAAATGTGTGCCGACTCACTTTTTCGCCTTGCCTTTTCCCATTCTTTTTCCTATCTAAACCAAAGCTACTTCAATCATCTTTTTCTGAATGCACACAGTTATATGCATATACCTCCTCTTTGGTAGCTTTCCTCTTATCTGTAATGGTACTAAGAGTACTTGAAGAAGTCGTGTGATGACAAAACAAAGTCAGTATGACAGCAGTTACCCACAACCCCCCATTCCTCAGTATTCAAATGTTTAGACAGTTTTAAGACTCAGCCGTTGTGTTTCCATTGTAGTGCCAAAGTGAGATTGGGGAGGAGTCAAACCAGACAGCCTGCCAGTGCAAGCATTCCTGCTTTGCCAGGCCATGTACCACATTACTTCTCCTAAAAGTTGCCTAGCATTAGAGTATTTCTAAGATGAAGTTCAATATCATATGTCATTAAACATAAAAACACCACTCCCTTACTAGTTAACTCTGTTGTTCAGTTCTCCTTGCTGTCTTTCTTGCCTTCTATGTGATTGTTCTCTTCTGTTAACCTTTGTGGCTGTTTTTAGGTTGTGCTTTTATTTTACTTTTATTAACGTTTTTGTTATTTTAACTGAGATTTCCATGGTAACTTCACAGAAAAATCTGAATTTGATTTTGGGGACCTCACGTCAACTGCAATATTATTTTCTTTTACCAGAAAAAAATTGTTTTTATTTTATTATTTTATTTTAAAAAATTGCGCAGTTGAAAATGTTATATACCTTTCTAATATTTAATTTTGGCTTTGGTTGGCTTTGTATATTTTGCATTAAATTATTTAACAGCATATTTTGGGTACAACATTTGACAGTCGTGTGATTTGATTTTAATTTTGTTATCATTGTTATTTTTGTCATTACTGGACTTTTTCTTTTAATGTAAATTATCCGGTGTTAAACCCCTCATTCTAGATTAGGATGCTCTTTTCATTTGTATACCAAACAGTGTATCAATATGAAAGCTGTATGCTTTATGAATGATTAACGTTCATGAAGATTGTACATTTATGGTATTGACAAATTGTTTTTGCCACACAATCTTAGTAAGATGCAAGTATGAGCATGTTTCAAGTGTTCAAACCTGTGTAACAATTCTATGCTATACTCAAAGCTGTTATCCATTGTGCATTAGACTTAAAATACAGCTTGGTGTTTTGCAAACATTGGTAAGGTTTGAAGTAACTTTTGTTGTCATACCAGTAAGCAGCAAAACCGGCTGCCAGTTACAGCAATTTTGTTTAGTACAGAAACAACACACAGACCTTAAAGTTTAAAAGCTGTATTAGCCTATATCATAGACTAATAGGTTGTACTAATACAACTCCTTAGAGGTCATTTTAATGTATATGTTCTCTTCCTCTGAAAGGTGACCTTTCACTCCTTTTGCTATGCAGTAAAGTCAGTTGCTCTGAATGGTGTTTGCTAAAAGCAGCTTGGTTGAGAGAGTCATGCGGCTCTTAGAAACTAGCTGTTCGTGTCCTGTTTGCCACTTTTGTCAGTAACATGGTTATAAAGAATGAAAAGGGGCTTTTGACACGTTATTGTTCTTTTTCTGTATGGGTGTTTTCTTTTGATTCCTACTGACATTTTTAAACAAATTATCATTTGAGTTGCTTGTTTGATGCTACTTTAATGGATACTTTGTGCTGTTATATGCATGTTTCAAGTGTTCAAACCTGTGTAATTGCACTGCACAATTCTATGCTATACTCAAAGCTGTTATCCATTGTGCATTAGACTTAAAATACAGCTTGGTGTTTTGCAAACATTGGTAAGGTTTGAAGTAACTTTTGTTGTCATACCAGTAAGCAGCAAAACCGGCTGCCAGTTACAGCAATTTTGTTTAGTACAGAAACAACACACAGACCTTAAAGTTTAAAAGCTGTATTAGCCTATATCATAGACTAATAGGTTGTACTAATACAACTCCTTAGAGGTCATTTTAATGTATATGTTCTCTTCCTCTGAAAGGTGACCTTTCACTCCTTTTGCTATGCAGTAAAGTCAGTTGCTCTGAATGGTGTTTGCTAAAAGCAGCTTGGTTGAGAGAGTCATGCGGCTCTTAGAAACTAGCTGTTCGTGTCCTGTTTGCCACTTTTGTCAGTAACATGGTTATAAAGAATGAAAAGGGGCTTTTGACACGTTATTGTTCTTTTTCTGTATGGGTGTTTTCTTTTGATTCCTACTGACATTTTTAAACAAATTATCATTTGAGTTGCTTGTTTGATGCTACTTTAATGGATACTTTGTGCTGTTATATGCTATTGTACAAACGTAAATATTCCTGTCTTTGTTTTTCATCTCTCAGATGTCATTGAAGCTGCTCTGTATTGATCTTTGTGGCTTTATTAAGAAAACATGAGAGATTTGATGTCTGTGTGATTCACTGGGTTTAATTGGATGCTATTTTGCATAGACTCAAGAAATGAAATTTAAAAGAATAATAAAGTTGAAAATCGAACGTTTTTTTTTTTATCCTGTAGTAACTGTTTACTATTAATCTATGGTCTTAGAAGTGAACCCATTGAAAATTGCCACTTGTAATGTTCTCCAATTATCGTCACACATTTTAAATGCTTACATTTAATTATGAGGACAAGAAGTGCACAGGTTTGTGATACTAAATGTCAGGAACAATCCAATCACTCACTACTCCCTAAAAACCTAGATAAATGCTTTTCAGAAGCAAATGAGTGGCTCACATTGCCCCCTAGGGTAATATGCATGGGCAAATGGCTGTTCTCCTGTCTGGCCCCCTTAATAAAGCTTTAGCTTGAACCCTGTAGGAACTCGTTTTACATATCAATGTTTCACTTGTTTTGAATTTTCAGTACTTCAGTAATCACAAAAGTTAGTTTACAAGACGTTCTGGGCATATACAGTGGTGTGAAAAAGTGTTGGCCCCCTTCCTGATTTCTTATTTTTTGCATGTTTGTCACACTTTAATGTTTCAGATCATCAAACAAATTTAAATATTAGTCATAGATAACACAAGTAAACACAACATGCAGTTTTTAAATGAAGGTTTTTATTATCAAGGGAAAACAAAATCCAAAACTACATGGCCCTGTGTGAAGAAGTGTTTGCCCCCCTGTTAAAACTGTGGTTTATCACACCTGAGTTCAATTTCTCTAGCCACACCCAGGCCTGATTACTGCCACACCTGTTCGCAATCAAGAAATCTCTTAAATAGGACCTGCCTGACAAAGTGAAGTAGACCAAAAGATCCTCAAAAGCTAGACATCATGCCGAGATCCAAAGAAATTCAGAAACAAATGAGAAAAAGTAATTGAGATCTATCAGTCTGGAAAAGGTTATAAAGCCATTTCTAAAGCTTTGGGACTCCAGCGAACCACAGTGAGAGCCATTATTCACAAATGGCAAAAACATGGAACAGTGGAGAACCTTCCCAGGAGTGGCCAGCCGACCAAAATTACCCCAAGAGCACAGCGACGACTCATCCAAGAGGTCACAAAAGACCCCACAACAACATCCAAAGAACTGCAGGCCTCACTTGCCTCAGTTAAGGTCAGTGTTCATGACTCCACCATAAGAAAGAGACTGGGCAAAAATGGTCCAAGACGAAAACCGCTACTGAGCAAAAAGAACATAAAGGCTCGTCTCAGTTTTGCCAGAAAACATCTTGATGATCCCCAAGACTTTTGGGAAAATACTCTGTAGACTGACGAGACAAAAGTTGAACTTTTTGGAAGGTGTGTGTCCCATTACGTCTGGCGTAAAACTAACACTGCATTTCAGAAAAAGAACATCATACCAACAGTAAAATATGGTGGTGGTAGTGTGATGGTCTGGGGCTGTTTTGCTGCTTCAGGACCTGGAAGACTTGCTGTGATAAATGGAACCATGAATTCTGCTGTTTACCAAAAAATCCTGAAGGAGAATGTCCGGCCATATGTTCGTGACCTCAAGCTGAAGAGAACTTGGGTTCTGCAGCAGGACAATGATCCAAAACACACCAGCAAGTCCACCTCTGAATGGCTGAAGAAAAACAAAATGAAGACTTTGGAGTGGCCTAGTCAAAGTCCTGACCTGAATCCTATTGAGATGCTGTGGCATGACCTTAAAAAGGCGGTTAATGCTCGAAAACCCTCCAATGTGGCTGAATTACAACAATTCTGCATAGATGAGTGGACCAAAACTCCTCCACAGCGCTGTAACAGACTCATTGCAAGTTATCGCAAACGCTTGATTGCAGTTGTTGCTGCTAAGGGTGGCCCAACCAGTTATTAGGTTTAGGGGACAAACACTTTTTCACACAGTAAGAAAGAGACTGGGCAAAAATGGTCTGCATGGCAGAGTTCCAAGACGAAAACTGCGGCTGAGCAAAAAGAACATTAAGGCTCGTCTCAGTTTTGCCAGAAAACATCTTGATGATCCCCAAGACTTTTGGGAAAATACTCTTGACGAGAGACTGACGAGACAAAAGTTTAACTTTTTGGAAGGTGTGTGTCCCATGGATTTTGCTTTCCCTTAATAATTAAAACCTTCATTTAAAAACTGCATGTTGTGTTCACTTGTGTTATCTTTTACTAATATTTAAATGTGTTTGATGATCTGAAACATTAAAGTGTGACAAACATGCAAAAAAATAAAAAATCAGGAAGGGGGCCAACACTTTTGGGGAAATATGCAATTTTGGATGCAGTCCCGGTGGCTGTATTTATTTAAAAAATACCAGAACACCATTCTACAATGCTAGAGTTTCCTGCACTACTTATTCAACGGCACTGCTACTGTAATTCTGTGGTTTGATCTGTATCTATGTGTATTTGTGTTTAGGTGTTTGAGGCCATATAGGGTGGTGAGTTACATGCTGGCTGTGGGGTCAGAAGGGCTGAGTTGTCTCTTTCTGCCTCTGCTGAATGTTTTTTCCCTGCTCGGCCCCTTTTCTCTCGTCTACAGCTACTTTGATGGCGCTTACGTGGCACTTATTCCTGTGGTGACCTCTGACACTGTTAGCTCCACCCACCTGACCTCAGCTCTGGGAGTTGTTTACTTTCTTCAGGCCATCCCCTACCTCATCAGCCCACCTATTGGAGGTCAGAGCAAAATTTCCACTCTCTATTTAACTAAGTGATATTTAAACTAAATGAAAATTTTTTTTACTAAATGAGTTTTATGAAATATCTCTCTCTCAGGTTGGCTAGTGGATCAGACAGGCTCCTACACAGCTACGTTCTTTCTCAGTGGAGTCTCTCTGATCTGCAGTGCTGTGATTCTGGCTGCTGTGAGAGTGATCATCCGCTGCACTAGAGAGAGCTCTTGCTTAAACTGACTCACAACCAGGTATACGGGAGATTCCTAAAGCAGCAGAACCATTCCATTGCTGTCAAGAAACATGAAACTGCCCCTCCGGAGTTAAAAAGTGTTATAATAAGAGTTGTATGTGTCCCTGATCCGAAGCTCTCATCAGTCAGATCGATTGCCACAAATACAAGCTCTTTTATAGCATTAATGGACACAGCACTGACCAAAAGAACACTGCTCTACTGCCGAAATACAGGATTTATGGTGATTTTAAAGGTGAAATTTAAAATTTCATCAATTTAAAATGCTAGTTACGTGTCAAATGCTCCAAATATTTTAATGTGTTTGCTATAAAAGAAACTTGTTTTGTATTTGATACTTATTTATTTTAATATGCGTCTCTCTCTCTCTCAGCTGATATCTGATTGGCTGGTCAGAGAAATGAACAGATGTGCTTTGCCCAATAGTTACATTTACACTGCTTCATTCAAAGCTCATTATGTTTATAATGTACACTACCGTTCAGAAGTTTTGGGTTTGTAAGATTTTAATGTTTTTGAAAGAAGTCTCTTATGCTTATGCTGCATTTATTTGATCAAAATACAGTAAAAACACCAATATGATTACAAATATTGAAATGTTATTTCAATTTAAAATAATTTATTATTTTAAATAATTTAAAAATATAATTTATTCCTGTGGTGGCAAAACTGACTTTTCAGCAGCCATTACTCCAGTCTTCAGTGTTACATGATTCTTCAGAAATATATTTTTTTCAGGACTCTTTGATTGATAGAAATTTCAAAAGAACAGCATTAATTTAAAAATAGAAATCTTTTGTACCATTATAAATGTCTTTAATGTCCCTTTTGATTAATTTAATGTGCCTTGCTGAATAAAAGTTTAAAAAGTCTTACTGAACCCAAATTTTTGAAAAGAAGTGTATACAACTGCATACACTACTGTCAACCTCACTGTCCTAAAACATTCAAATGAAATCTCATCCTTTTTAGTGTCATAAATGTGTCTCAACTATTCTCATTTTAGTGCTTCAATCAATATGATAGCTTATTCGAAAATAATTATGGGTATTCAACAAGAAGAGAAACAAATTACACTATAGTAATCTCTTGATTTTTACATCAAAGTACATCAAATACCTTGTGACTCTTATCAAGACATGTATTTGTATGTGACCTTGTTTTGTACTGGAACGCTTGTTACAACAGATCAATTTCACGATGTATCTTCATTCTCCTCTTTGGTAAGCTAAGGTTCCTTAGAAAAATGTGAAAGGAAAACAAAATGTTAATGTTTAAAAATCACTCAACTTATGAGACACTGGCTGTGTGAAAAGGTTTTTAATTCACATATTACTGCAAACAGAAAACACAAAGTTTCAAAATCAATAAAGCGGGTAGATCTAATCAATTAGAAATGATAAATTAATTAGACAGTACAATGTTTTATAATGTGGCGATTTATGACATGCATTGTTATCATTATGTTATCATCATCGCTCGTTTTTTCAGACGCTTGCAGAAAAAGGCTTACCAAAACAAAGTTACTGGGTTAATCTTTTTCACGTTTCCTTGGTTGGTAGATGCACCGGGGACCTGATTATAGCACTTAAAACCTGGAAAAGTCAGATTTTCATGATATGTCACCTTTAAAACATCATCTTTCATCATTTCAAGTGAAGTGACCCAGCATTTACAGATGGCATTGCAGGGCTCGCAAAATTTAAAAATCCCTGGTAGCCCTTCAGGCAGGCATTCTTCAGATTTTGGTAGTCCGAAATGAATTTGCCTAGCATATAAATTTACTTAAGCATATAAATATATTATAAGTTTGTCTTAATTGTTTAGATATTTAGAAGGTACATTCTTTCACATTTACAACTCTGTGTTTGCTGCGTAAAAACAAGGGTCGATATTCGCATTGATCTAAATAGCAGACTTATTGAAAATGCATATTCAATGGCACAGAAATGTAAACATAGATCCCTCATTAGAGACTGTTCTGACTGAAATTAAATAACTGCATTAAAGACTTTTTAAGGACCCGTGGGAACCCTGTATTTAAGATTGCGGTGATACATTTTGGTAGCTTGACTGGAAAACACAATAGCCCTGTGATGTTAGGCTAGCGATTTTGTGAGCCCTGAGTATAAACAAAAAGTCATTAAAAATAACATTGTATTATCAAATAAAATCAGGGTGGAGGTATACTGAGAGAAAAGAGAATTTGACACTGAAACAAGATTGAATGACTCCAACTGTTTGACTTTACAGATCATTCTAAAATGACCTATATATGACCTGTCAATGACCAAATATAGCAAGCAATTAATATCTGTAATTTTAGTTTTTAAATGATCAACATTATTTAAGCAAGAAAAAAAGAAAATCACAATATGGCTGTTATTTAGAAATGCTATCTATATTCCTCCATATCTAATTTCAAGGCAAAGTCCTACATTTTAACATCTTGCATTTTTAATTCACACCTCATTCAGTCTGTCCTTTCTCAACAATTGTCTGGATCTCATCTGCTGTTTTTCGTTGCTTCATTTCATGCAGAGTTTTGATGAGAGCTGGGTAGGCTCCACGTAAACCTTGTCTCTGGGACCAAGCCTGCAGAAGTGTGTATTTCTGTTCTTTCACATCGTTTTTGTTGTTAAGCTCATGTTCCTCAATTTCCGTATTTCTCATGCCGCTGCGCCTGGCAACACGTTTCACTGTTTTCCAGTCCAGAACTTCAACAATATCTAGTAGGTAAGGGTCCAGGTCTAAATCTACACAGAAAAAGAAGACAGCACTGATAATAAGCTTCTTGTCCTGCTATTACTGTGATCTAATGTCTTAATATTCCAGACACTTTCCATCAATAGGGTACAAAACAAGGCATGCATTTATTTTAATGGTTATTTTAAATAGTTTATTTATCAACAAATAACTGCACAAAGAGGTGCTAATATTACATTATTGGTAACTGAAATTAGTGAATGAACTGAACATGAATTCAACAAATACATGATGCAAGAAAATTACCATTATGACGTTCTGAAGCCCCCCTGCAATGACCCACCCCTCCACCCCCGGAATGCGATTTTAAACGCGGAAAGCAATCTAAAGCCTGTGCTGCATCCCAATGTGCCTACTTATACTACGCCCTTAAAGTATGTACTCTTTTGGTGAAGTAGTAGAAGAGTAGGCAAGCTTTGGGACGTACTAACGTACTATTGCGTCTTTAACGGACTGCTCTGTTGCATAGTTACACGCTCCCTGTCACTGTAAACTGGCCTGCATGGCTGTCAATCATCTTGTCACAGTTAACATCCTTCACATTTCATTTAATTTAACTTCCTACCGTATTGGAGAGAAAAGTAGCAGCACATTTATCTGGCAGCCATGGGTCTTTATGCGGAGAACTTTATGCGCAATAGATTGGCAATATTAGCCATTAGAGTGTGCACAGATCCACACTTCAAAAATCTACCTGAAATAGTAGACCATCCGAGGACATTTGGCATATTTTTTAACATACTATGCTGTGGGACACACTTATTTTAATCAAATACTATTAAGGATGGATAGTATGAACATTGGGACGAAGGGCTGGGTGCCGCGTCTGCACAAGCGCAAAGGTGAAAATGTATCTATGTATGCATGTAACAAAGTTTAAGACTCAGGGAAGAAGGAAGGGGGAACCATCCAACGTAACAAACAACAAAATGAAAGTAAGCGGCAGCCGCCTTAAGGCAGACTCCAGTGCGTATCTGTCTCTGTGTTTGCGCTCTGGAGAGCTTCAAAGGTTTCTAATTACAACGTGTTTTTACAGCATTGAACATTATAGCCAATCACAGACATATCTGTTGATTTCTTGAACGAGGTGGCCAATTAGAGGTGTTTCAGTTAGTCAGAATCCATTTTCCGCTCAGAACGACAGTGTTTGTTCAGTCCTGAATTCTGCAAGCTAATCCTCTCATTATAACAAACATAATTGTAGACACAATGTAAATAAGTTATTGTGCAGCGTAACAATTGTGCAATTCATTGATTATAATTTATAACGGAATTTTCCGGTTTTTATCTGGATACTTTAGATCGGTCGTGGGCCCTGTGTATCACCTGGTTGCCTGTTGACGGCAACATTGGCCAAAGTTGCCCAGCAACATTGTTCAAAAAGTTGCCCCGTGTATCATCAGCCTTACTTTTATGTATTTTGGGAGAAATTGCTGAATTTGCGTGATGTTAATCTAAAGACCCGGCGTTGGGACTGCTGATATTTGATTTAAAAAATAAATAAAAAATTTAATGGTAACATATCAAATAGTTCTCAGAAGCAAACATACCTGTCAGGTGTACTGCCTACATGGGGGGAAAAAAACAAGCCAATCCATCAGTCACAAAAGTTTTAAAATGCAAATTAAAAAATTCCACTGTAACACCACAACGGTGCAATGAAAGTTTAGAACAAGAAAACTGACTCACTGGTTCGATCGGTCTGCCCTTAAAACGATACTTGCGTTTTCTACATAGCCAAAAGACCACCACACCAACACCAGCCACAAGTATGAATGACACCAAAACAGCTACAATGACCACTGAAATAAGCAATCATATTAGTCAATTATCTGTAATGTACTTAGTGTTTATACTGCATAAGCTTTAGAGGACTCTTTTTCAGTTATTGCTTATACTGTGTGTAGACAGAAGTGCTCTTGGGACACGGGCATTTTAGCATGTACTGAAATCAGTGATAAAGCAGCCCTTGCCTTGCAGATGTACGGGCTCTTTGGCATCATGGCACACAGTGTTGGTGGTTTCTGTACATTTTTCTTTCACTCCATGTTTCTCACACCTGTTGAGTAAACAATAGGTAAACAGAGAGAAGTCTGAATAATAAACTGAAAGCCAATATATAATATATACCGAGTTAGTATAAAAATGCTTAAAATTTCAGATCTTCAAGGAACTGTTAGCAAACCCCTGAGCAGAAACACTCCATGGGGAAAAAAACATTGCATATATTTAGGCCAACTGTACCAGGGTTACAGTTATTTAATATTTCTATGTATTGTTATGTAAAGCACAAGCATTGCTGTTATTTTGTCTATTTTGTCGTTTTGAGAGAGACAGAGAGAGAGACTAAAGATAACTTATGTCAAGAACATTTTAATGTTTCCACCAAACTGAGTCTGCATTTTGCATAGATTTTATTTGGTTTGAATGGGAGCAACATAAGAAATGTGCATGCACAGAGCTTTTTACAGTAATCTCCATTCTAACTTTCTAAACACACAGACATCTGTCATTCTTTCCAGAGAGAAAAGGGCATTTGGCTGACTACATACGTGTCACAGGGATAACAGGCCTTGCACAGGTCACCCTTGTCACAGTAATAATTGTCTTTGCACCTGCAGACAGTGTTGGAAGATGACGAACAGTTCAGCATTGTGTCCATGTTTGCTATTGCAAGGAGAGAAAGCAGAAATAAGACTTTTTAAAATTAGTTTTTGCCCATGCTTCCATTTGGGCTTCAAGAAGCACAATACTAGTTTTTGAAAACAGTCCCATCTCTAGCATTAGTTACGTTTTGACTTATATTTTATAAATAACAGTTGACTGTCTACTGCCCATTTGTTAAATTTAATGTTTATAGCATTGAGAAAAAAAAAACATTGATTTGCAGAAAAATCACAATTTAGCTGACAAAACGAACAAGGTTCAGATGTTAAGACCTACCATTGGAATCACAGATTTGACAAGGCTGGCATTTGTCATCATTGTTCGGGTGATCTATATAGGTGCCATGCCCACACCACTCACATTTTGTGTCATGTTTATCAGTGCAGTGACTTAAGAACCGATGACCTGCAGCACACACAAATACACACATTGGTATTTGAGAACATCCTTTAGTTCCAATCTTATCTAAGTGATCCAGAAATAACTCAGATTGCAATTACTTTAAGTTCATCTGATCACAAAACAATATCATATTTATTCATTTGTTTGGTAACCATGTAATAAGAGGGATCTACAACCAGAAAAATAAAGCCCAGCTGAATGTAAACCTTTTCAAACCCTATGCCTAGACTTTTGATGTAAAATAAGAAACAAAGTCCACCTCGCTAACAATATATACTGTGTATGTGTTTTTATATTAGATCTTACCTGTCTGACAAAAGCAGCAACTTCTTCCCTCGTGCTGGTAAGTCCCGTTCTCACAGACGCCGCGTCTCGTGCGCAGGCGCCTGCCTTCTGTCAGCCCTTCAGTTAACATCTGAAACACCGAAAACTGCACTTAACAGATCATATATGAAATTAAAGTTACGCTTTCTTGTTGAAATTCTTTTCAGGCATGCTTTGTCACCCGCAGATGGGTAAACCGACCATAAACCGCTTCAGAATGCTAAGCGACGAAACGAAAAGCGAAAGTGAAACTCAACTATTTATAATAAATGTTTAGGACGTTTATACTATTTTTCTCTAAATTGTATTCAATTCTTTATCAAATAGAAATCAACAAATATAGTAAAAAACAATTCCTTACATTTCTGTATTCCTCAAGGAATGGTTGTCGATGTAGGGCGTTTTAGATATTAGAGTATACAGTAATATATTCAGTAGGCTATTCAATTTAATAAAGTTTAAAGGCTTTACTTACCGCACACCACAGAAACACGACGAGATGTGGTCGTACATACATATCTGAAGAGTAATAGGCAAAAAGAACAGTTTAGTCGCGTTAAAAGCCCAAAACAACCTCGTTACACTATGAGCAACATTTAAAGTGAAGGAAATGGAAGTAGGCTGTTATTCGCGAGCTAATTGTTCTTGTGAACCGAATCTTATCAATCGGTCTAATCTAAACCGGTCAATCTGGGTCCAAGCTTTTCACGAGATAATAATAATCATTGAACTGAGTATATATTAATTGGTTTTAATGAATAGCATTAATTGTACAGACCTCAAGGAGCACGTGATTTCCTAAATACGGTTTGATGCAAACAAATCAAACGAACCGGTTCACTGAAACGAACTGTTCAAAGGAACCGATTCGTGGTAAAAGGGCTGACTTTTCATCAACGCAATTTACACAGCTGTGATAGTCTAGGGAAATTTGTCATAAAGGAATCCCCATTGTTGAGCTTTATTCAGATTCCAGGTCGTTCTTACCGCAAACATTTGTAGACCAAAAATGATCTTTTAAATCTATTAATTTCAAGCATTAGCATCTGGCATTTTATCAAACAACAGTTAGCCTAATTAAGATGTACCTTTATGAGGCATTGTACAGCTATTGCACTGGAAATGGTCATGTGATTTACAACAATTGGTTAATTAAATGACAGCTACAGTTTATTTCTATTTCTCATTCTCTTCTGTTAAACTGTGTGAACCCAGGACATACCAGGGCAATGCACGCCATTTCACAAGTTTCTAGAAACTTCTTATTCTCCAAACACAGGATCTTGAGACTAGTGGAGCTTTTTTAAGTGCCCGTATTATAAATGTCTCAAAGTTAGCCAGACAATGCTCCTTTCCAGAACTCAGTCAGTGTTCAGTGAACTACTATATGCAATGACTGATTTATAGGTTTAATTTGATTTAAATTTTTAATACACCGACATCTGCAGGTTAAACAACAGCAGTTTCAGTGAATAGGCTATTATCTTGTCTTCAAAACTATAATTATACTAAAGTATAGTGTGAGGTACTGTGGCTTTCCCTAAAACAATGCCTTTAAACCTGTATGGCAGATGAAAATGTGGGTACCTGGTAGCTACTACACAACCTTCTTCAGCATGACCTTGTGTCTGCTGTGGTTGTTCTATGCAGAAACTGCACGCGAGTTTGGGTGTTACATGCATCATCTTTTTTTCTGAAACACACACAGGAAGGTGACACTTATTGGGTGCATGTGGGCAGGTGGGTTTAGGTGAGATGGCCATTTTAGATCAACCCTTTCATACCTTAACAACGAAAAGAAGTTTCTTAGTAGCCAGGAACTCTGACTTTGAGATAATGTGTGCTTGTGTTCTTACATACCACTGCGGTCACACACACAATCTTTCATAGACTGATGCCTTGTCCAAATACCCACTCTTGTGGTCTTTGCACTTGACTACCCAAGTGTTCAAGTGAGGATGAAGACCACAAGTGTGTGTTGAACTTTTCTTTACCTGATGGGACATACTTATAGTGTTGTAAAAACGCAAGTGTTTACATAGCGTTATATTTATTTATATTTTATTTGATCTTCGGCTGACCAATCAGCAGAAAGGGGCGTTTAATTCCCGCCCACGTGTAGAAATTGAATAATCAAGCTGTTTATTCATTTTTCCACCCATGAACGAAAAACGAAAATTTAAGCTGAATTTTTTGGGAAAAAAACGAAAAATGAGCCGTTTTCTCATTTTTCTACTTTCAATATTAAATCAAAAAACAAATGATCGAATGATACATAGATTTGTGTGACCCAGTTTCTGTGATTTTCTAACTGGTTAAGCCCCTGCTGTGAATTATGGGATTTTTTTTATTTTTTTTTACTCCTGCTTTGTTACTGGCAAATGGCACCAGAGGACAATATACATATACACTTCTCACTGACAAATATCAAGGAGGTTCATAGAGTATGAATATGAAAATTAGTACATTTAAAGTATGGTGTTTTGGTTCTATGGTTCCATTAAGAACTTTTAACATCTATGAAACTTTTCCATTGTACAAAAATGTTCTTCATAATGGAAAAAGTTATTTAGATTACTAAAATGTTCATTACAATAAGAAAAAAGGATTCTTTCAAGAACTGTTGACTTAAAGGTTCTTTGGAAAACCCAAATTATTCTTATATGGCATCACTGTAAAAACAAAACAAAACAAAAAACCTCTTAGGAACCTTTATTTGTAAGAGTGCAAAAGAGAATTATTTTGATTTGAACAAACATTGAAGCATTATTACCACAACACAACACAACACAACACAGTGCCCTGCAGCAGAGTTTAGATTCAATCCTAATTAAACACACCTGATCCAACTAATCAAGTCCCTCAGGCTTATTTGAAAACTACATGGTATGTGTGTTGGAACAAAACTCTGCAGGGCTCCGGCCCTCCAGGAATTGAGTTTGACACCCCTGTCTTACACAAAACCAATCTAGCACTGCTGTAGGCCATAAAACTGACACATTCATTGATTTCTCACCCCTTTACTAATATGTAGCAATACAGTGACATGGAAACCACAAAAGTCTCGACTTAGTCGGCTTTCTGTCACCTGTCTTCTGTCATTGTCATCTACAGAAGTGGAGAACTGTCAGATTAAGCTTTTTCCTACATGACAATCATTGCTAGTTAGAGAAAACTGGAGGGGGAAAAAAGACATTCTGGGGTCTAGTATTTGCATTAGAAATCCTAATTTGCAGTATTATCGGTCCTGCAATTTGTTGTTTAATGACAACCTATTTACTATGCAGCCATAATAACTCAATAAATTCCATTTTTATGCTTTGTGTGTCTTCATGATCAGTTCTCTTTAGCTATAGGCTCCTATAGAGGTTTTTGTGGCCTTAAATACGTATAAGATGGGAATGACTGCACATTCACACGTTATCTTTATCCCTGTGTTTGTCATTGGGTATTAGTGTGTGTGTTTATATCATGACGTGTTAATGTGTCACATCAACAAAGTCTGAGAAGTTTTCTGAGGTTTTCATAATCTGGGGTCGACTCGAAGCCATTTCAAACCTCTTTATGATCGCCTTTGTGCACATATGAGATGTGTGACAGTAAGCCGGGTTCATGGAGAGGACAGACTCCTCTGCGCTGATATGAGAAGTGTTGGTGTCTGTTATCTGAGCCCCATATTAATTTGGCTGTGACGGATGTTAGCCTGGCCTAGCGTAGCCGATCGTCTCTGGGGAAAACACGCCATAATCCTGTAATCCTTTCCTCTTGGGATTCTGTCTAATCAAGCGCTCTTTAAAATGAAATAGCACACACACACTCTGAATACTAACACCAATACATTGCAAATTCTTGTCAATCGGTATCTGACACAGCTCTTCTGTAAGTACAGAGCTCAGTTTTTCTCTCAGAGACTTCAAGGCATCAGTTCAGTGTCTACATTTATAAAGGTAATCTACTTGATTTAATCATAGAAACGTGAAGAGGCGGTGTTTATTTATTGACACTAGAGCAAGTGTGCTGTCCACAAACAGACAACCATAATGTTTGAACATGACAGACCGTACAGGATTATTTCTGATTCAACACATTAAGCTCGACAGCACTTGTGGCGTAATGTTGCTTACCACTAAAAATAATTCCCACTTGTCCATCCTTTTCTTTATTAAAAAGGCAAAAATTTGGGTTACTTACAGTGAGGTACTTACAGTGAAAGTGAATGAGGCCAATAAGTACATGTTAAAATACTAAATGTTTCAATAGTATAGGCACAAGGCATAACATCAGTGTTTACTCGCAGAACATACATTCAAATGATTATGGAAAGATTATGGAAAAAGAAAAGAAAAATTGAAAAAATTCTCTCCAAAGACAAATGTTGTTTTCACCAGAAGAGCAAAAAATAATAATAAAAAAATTAATGGATAAATCAGTCATAAGATCATTAAGATGCTTTTACAAAACAGACTTATTTTAGTGAAAAAAATGGCTTATCATTAACCTTTTCTGTGTGCTTAGTTGCTATGACACCTAAAATTTCCATAAAACAGTGTGAAATTGACAGTTGTAATAGAATTATTCAATTGCTATTAGAAAATAAGCATCTCATTTCTGCTTTTGAATCTTTGAACATTGGCCCCATTTACTTACATTGAAAGTGCTTCACTGTAACCTCAATATTTGTTTGGTGGTAAACATTACGCCACAAATGCTGTTTATTGGGCTAAATTTATTAAATGCAGAATGATCTCCTTTTAGGTCAACAGAGGTAATTAGGTTAATTCTGAAAATAGCCTACAGTTTCAGATTTTATCTAAAACCATAGTTATATTTGTTAAAAATGAAAAAGAAAAAAAAAGAAAGAAAAAAAATAGTGCAGCCCCTGTACTTCTCTCAGGGCTGTTTAGGTCTTTTAAAGAAATGCAGAAACTGTCACCCAGGCCAGTTAATCCCCACTTCCTGTTTCATTCTGGGCCTAATCCAAACAGCACAGCTGTGCTCTAACAGCGACTTTTTGCCAGATTAGTTTCATAATGTCCAACAGTGTAGATGAAGGGTTGCCAAGGTTGAGCAAATACTTTCCAAACTGAGAAAGAAAACAAGAAAAACGTAAACGTACTAATGCTGCAATTAGTTGAAATACTGAATAACTTAATTGAGTCAAAGCTAAGGAATTTCCAAGCTCTAATCAAATCACACTGCTGTATAAAGCTGCTCTTAAAATCCCCAAAAATGTGCATAAGAGGGCATAACGGTTGCCAGATTGTCATGGCATTGCATCAGCGACAAGTTTTAATATGTCAACTGGAGGTGCAACCATTGGTCATTCAGGGCTGGTTTCTATGACTCCCCAATGGGCAACCAATTACAGTGTAGCGGAACAGTTCCCGTCTCCATCATTAGCTGGTGTGAGTCTAGTTTGATGTTTTTATCAACATCAGAGGATATGAGAGCATGGCGTAAATAGACAAAAGGGCATAAAACGGACCGAGAGGCAAATCAAAAGCAATAGGGAAGACAGAGATAAGGAGAATGACGTATTATATATCTATGTCCTCTCCTCTTTGTTAGGAGATTAATATTTTCCTCCATGTCTATGCGCTCTAATCTAATGACTGTAGAAAGCTACAGA